GAATAACTGAAGAGAATTCATGAAGTAGCTGAGAAAGTTACACAAAATGTAATATACAGAGATAAAGAAAGGGAAGGAATGGAAACGAAGTTAGAAGGCACGGGGAATAGGATGAGGAGTTTCACACACATCTACGAGGAGACCCAGAACCAACAATTTGAGAGAATGAAACCCAGGCAACATTTGAAGAGCTAGTACCTGAAAGCTTTTCCTACATTGACAAAAGGAACAAACCCCCAATTGAACCCCAAGCAGAAAAATTAGAAATAGAAAGTATGTACTCTGAAATATCATAGCGATGCTACAGAACTCCAAAGGCAAAGATACAGTCTTAACAACTAGGGAAGGAAAGTCAAATATCTACAAAGGAATTCAATTAAGTAGACAGCCAATTTCCCAAGAGGAATGATCAAAGATAAAACACACTGGGATGATATTTTCAAAATGTTTAGAGAAAATAATTGTCAGCTGAGAATTCTATACCTAGCTAAACTATCACGGTAGAATGAGGGCAAAATAAAGACTTCAGACAAATAAAGAAGGAAGTACTGCTCACAAACCCTCAAGGAAGAAAAGTAGAACAACCTATCATCCGGGAAGGAGGAAATTTAACCCAGAAAGGAATAATATGCAAGAAGTAACAACACTGGGCCTGCCTGGTAATGTGTCTACAGCGGTGAGGATGGACGGTGAACTTCCAGGTGTCTGCCTCCTGGTCCAGTACAATCCCCGCCTCTCCTCCTTGGCTCCCTGATACTGAGGCCTCATGTCAATTGCTATTAGTCACCTTACCCCAACTCACTATTACCTGCCAGTTCTGTAGGTGAGAGCAGTGGTTAACAGTAAAGAGCTCATTCAACATAATCCAATAGTAAAGTCATAGGGTCCACAGACAAGAACTGAATTTGAGGCATGGACACTCACTTCGGTCTTGGCTGTACCATATCCAGCAGGGCCACTTCCAGCTAATGATAATTCAACATCTTACAGCCTTACCCTGTTTATCCAGAAAGGGACAAAAGAATTCTAGAGAGGATCAGAACCCTTTTAGAAAATATAAAGCACTTTTCCAGCGTGAGTTTTTTGAGAAGTAGGTTCAATAGCATTTCATCGGGGTCACATTCATTCTGCCATTTGGCTTTTAACATTCTTCATCATCTGTTCTCATGCCATCCCTCCAGGAGACCCTACTCAGTCCCCTGCCCCACCAGGCAGCCCAACCTGAGCAGCATGTTCCCTCAGAGCCCTGGATGCGGCACTTTCCACTCTGTTGACCTCTGCCTGCTTCATCTTTTCAATTTCTACACATCCTTCATGTTCAGGCCCCAATTCCAGCCTCAGGCCTATCTCAACAACCTGTCATCTCCACGGAGCTTTCACAGATGCAGAATCCTAGTATCTGAACTCCTCGTATTTGCTGCTCACAGGACCCGGTGATTTTCCACACGATGTCTCTCATAAAACATTTTTTAAATGCTCTTATTTATGAAAGACAGAGAGAGACAGAGTGTGAGTAAGAGAGAGGCGAGAGAAGGAGGGAGACACAGAATCTGAAGCAGGCTCCGGGCTCTGAGCTGTCAGCAGAGCCTGACACGGGGCTCGAACTCACGAACTGTGAGATCATGACCTGCGCCAAAGTCGCATGGTTAACCGACTGAGCCACCCAGGTACCCCTCTCATAAACCATTTTTTTAAACTGCTATTGTTATTATCTTCACCAGGCAGTTTGGCATGTAACCTATGATACTCTATCTTATTCTCCAACTGACTCGAGTTTTCCTCGTCTCTCCATTTCATCGTTATCGGCTAACCAAAGCCCTCACGAAAGGCACCCTATTGCAATCCTCTTGATGGGCTATTTGTTCAATAAGTGTTCTTACAGAATGCCTAGATGCCTAGAATGTTCTAAATATACTCAAGTGATTCACAGTAGGTCGAAGGAGTAAGAACGGAGGAGGAAGGAGCCAGAAGTAACCAAAAGAGAGGGACACAAACAGACAAAATACAGATGATGACAAGTGTCGGCCACTTAACCGTGGTCCAAAAGCAGGCCTCTCCTTTATGCAGATCACATAGCGCTGAAACCTCACAACAAGCCCTTGAGGTGCACAATGTTATCCTTATTTCACAGAACAGGAAACGCACTCAGACAGGAAGCAAACCGTCTTGTGCCATCCCATTAATGAGTGGTAGAAACAAGATCCAAAGATTAAGAACAAGCTCTTGCCCCAGCTAGCCCCCTCACTCTCAGTGAAAATGAAAATATTTCCTTAGATGAGCTGCCATATGGAAGCCTAAGTGAATATCATTTTTATGTATTTAATTCATTTTTGTATAGGCATATTCGTATGTTCATAAAATATGAATATATTCATATTTTAAAAAAATATTTTTATTTTTTATTTTTGAGACAGAGAGAGACAGAGCATGAGCAGGGGAGGGGCAGAGAGAGAGGGAGACACAGAATCCAAAGCAGGCTCCAGGCTCTGAGCCATCAGCACAGAGCCCGACGCGGGGCTCGAGCTCACGGACCGTGAGATCAAGACCTGAGCCGAAGTCGGACCCCCAACCAACTGAGCCACCCAGCCGCCCCAATATTCATATCATTTCTATTCAATTCATCTTAATCTTCAGGTCTGGGGCATGGGGATGACCTATTTATTATCTTACTGGGCTCTATTGCTATTTTGCAGATCATTTTGCAAACGTGGAGGTTGGTCAATGGTTATCTTTTAGGAACATTAAAACAAGGCTAAGACAGTCTCATGTCAAAATGAAAAAATGCATACTGGAAATATTTCACTGAAGAGGCTTTCGGAAGTATTTCATCTCTATGTAAATTCACTTTTGGTATCACCTCCACCCCCACCATTCCTGATACTCTTGAGATTTTGACATTTTGACTTCCTTGGGGTTTACTGGATGTTTATTTAACCAAACTCCATTGTTTAGCATAAAAACCACTTACGCCAAAAACAAATAAGTGAAAATTAAGACTCACAATATAGGGACAGTAGCAATTGCTAAGCAAATGAACTAAAAGTTGGAGCTGGCAAACCCAATTTGGCAATAAATTTCATATTTAAAAAAAAAATAAAAAAAATTAAAGTTGGAGCTGAATGCAATTTAAAGAGCACTTCTGTAAAACATTTAACTGTAGTAAATAATTGCATGTTTCAACATTCCTATCACAAATTCACTAAATTTAAAAAAAAATTTTTTTAATGTTTATGTATTTTTGAGACAGAGAGAACATGATCGGGGGAGGGGCAGAGAGAGAGGGAGACACAGAATCTGAAGCAGGCTCCAGGCTCTGAGTGGTCAGCACAGAGCCCGATGTGGGGCTCGAACCCACGAACCGCGAGATCATGACCTGAGCCGAAGTCGGACACTTAACCAACTCAGCCAGCCAGGCACCCCCACAAATTCATTTTTAATGGTAAAACTAACACTGAGTGTCACAACCTTTAAAAAAACCCCCAAAACTCATCTAACTAATATTCGCTTACGACACAGATCAAAGTTATGCCCTGTTTCCAGACATAAATACATTTACTCCACATCTAATAATTGGAGAACATTTCCATTAAATTCCATTTCCCATGTTAAGTGTCAAAAGAGGAAAACATATCCATTATTACCCAGGACAAATATTAAGAATCAAAACAACCGAAACCATTCAGAATGTTCACTTAATACGGGCACCCCGAGAGACAACGTATACGCAGAATATAAACTCTACAGATAGATACGTGAACAAGACAATAACAAAAGCGTTCCCTCTCGAATCTTTGATTTGAACACTGATCCATTTATAAAGGAACAGAGCAACAATACCCATTTTCGGAAGTCTCTTTTTAATCGTACACATTTTTTTCCCTCGTTGTAAATAAAAAAGCATTTCCAACCAAAGGATCGAGCTGCCGTTGCAAAATGCATTTCCTGCATTCATACTAACCGCTTCCTCTTTCAAAAAAAAAAAATGTTTTTTGTTGTTTTCTAAGCTGTTACAGTGAACCGTTCCTTCAGATAACCAGTCAGACGTTTTATATGAAACAAATTTGGGAGAAGCACTAAAGATATTACCATGTTCCGTAAAGATGTCAAACCTCAGCGTTAGAGCGAGGGCAGCGAAAACATTTGACAAGTACAACTCCTTATACGTCCAGTGACTAAAGCAGTCATCTTGCAAGAGACTGTTTCCCCAAATGGTAAAAAAATTTAACAGTGCTACTCGGCTGGCTTCGGTTAGAGAAGAAGTGAGCCTACCGTGCCTGTGCGTTTCGGAGTCCTCAACTGAAGAAAACTTCCCAACTGCTCAACTCCTTTTCTCTTATTGAGATAATTACCACACTGAAAATCATTCACAGCAAATCCTTTCCTTCTTGCGTAAAGTTAGCACAGATTCTTTACTATAGTTTTATTTTGCTCTTCAAAACATCCGATTAGGTAACGCAGGACACATTGAAAAAAAAAAAAAAAAAAAAAAAAAAGAGCGCGTGTATATTTTATCGTAAACTAGAAATGTGAAGTCTTATCACATACTTCTCGAATTTTTTTTTTGTGAATGTTTCTTTATTTTTGAGAGAGAGAGAGGAGACAGAGTGCGCGCCGGGGAGGGAGAGGGAAAGAGAGAGAGAGACACACAGAATCTGAAGCAGGCTCCAGGCTCGGAGTTGTCAGCACAGAGCCCAACGCGGGGCTCGAACTCACGAACTGACAGATCATGACCCGAGCCGAAGTCGGACGCTTAACCGACTGAGCCACCCAGGTTGACTCTATCACCTACTTCTTAAAATTCTACCTTCATTCATAAATGGCTCAGAAGTTCCTATTCTACTTCACGCTAGGAACCTCCCTAAAGAATCTAAAAGCTACGAATGTTCAAAGCCAAATACTTTTAGAAGCTGTAGTAACTGCACATAAACAGAATGTTAACTCCCTGAGTAACTAACACGTTCTTCTAAGCGCTGATGGTCAGGATCTGAATGTAATTTAACTTTTAAAACGTTTCCTCGAGTCAGGTTCTATAACAACACTCATGAGCAAGCCCAGTAATGAAGCCTCCTGCATTGTCTAGAGAATTCTTCTGGTTAATTAAGACTCAGAATTGCAATGAACTTGAATAAAGAAGCCCCATTAACAGTTTCAGGGCACACAACTGCCCGTAAAAATGCAGACTCTGGCAGCAAAAAGAATCACCCGAGATAAATGAAACAAGAGCTGTGAGAAAGGGAGAAACTGACACCAGCGTTTAGAAAACATAACTTGAAATTCACTAACAATTCGTAACCACTAACTGTGCAGTTTTTTGTTAAACAATATCCTATTTTGCATTTAGAAATTATGTAAGCGCCAACAGTCACAAGGCAAGGGCGAATTAGAGAAAGGGAATTATTCATTGCCCGACATGGATGAACTCCGTGTAATGCATGCGTTTAGAAAACACTGTTCTCTCTGTTCCGGAATATTAGTTCACATTCCATTCATTTTGATAACCTTTTCCTTTTTCCTCCTAACACCACACTAACCATGGGCAGCTCCATCAGAAGGCAGAGATTAGGCACTGCTCCTCGCCCAACTGGGTCCAGTATGTCGTTCTTCCAAAGCAGACCGACGGACAAAACCTGACTGTAAAGCCTTTTGTCACCAAAATGCCACTGAAGAGCCCGTTAGAGGGCAAACGGGAAAATTCACAATACGGAGAGCTGAATCCCGGGAGGAAAGTGAAAGCCAAGCTCCTTAACGTCAAGGATTGTGTGCTGGCGTGTGGGTGTCTCGGGGTGCCGCCCCCACACCTCCCCAGCACGCAGTCGGTGGGTCGTGGGTGAGGGAACGAGGGGGCGAACCATTCCGAAGGATCACGCCTTAGGAATTCTTCAACACGTTCAACGCTTTTTGAAAATCAGACTAGGACCGTGAAATCACGATTCCATTACAATTCCCTGAAATTAAAACAAAGCCAAACAAACAAACAAAATAGGTAACTCATTG